CAGGCCTCCTGCACCCAGGCCTCCTGCACCCAGCCCTACTGCAGCCCAGGCCTCCTGCACCCAGACCTCCTTCACCCAGGCCTCCTGCACCCAGGCCTCCTGCAGCCCAGGCCTCCAGCACCCAGCCCTCCTGCACCCAGCCCTCCTGCAGCCCGGGCCTCCTGCACCCAGCCCTCCTGCACCCAGGCCTCCTGCACCCGGGCCCCCAGCACCCAGCCCTCCTGCACCCAGGCCTCCTGCACCCAGCCCTCCTGCACCCAGGCCTCCTGCACCCAGCCCTCCTGCACCCAGGCCTCCTGCACTCAGCCCTCCTGCACCCAGGCCTCCTGCACTCAGCCCTCCTGCACCCAGGCCTCCTGCACCCAGGCCTCCTGCACTCAGCCCTCCTGCACCCAGGCCTCCTGCACTCAGCCCTCCTGCACCCAGGCCTCCTGCAGCCCGGGCCTCCTGCACCCAGCCCTCCTGCAGCCCGGGCCTCCTGCACCCGGGCCCTCCTGCACCCGGGCCCTCCTGCACCCAGCCCTCCTGCACCCAGCCCTCCTGCACCCAGGCCTCCTGCACCCAGGCCTCCTGCACTCAGCCCTCCTGCACCCAGGCCTCCTGCACCCAGCCCTCCTGCACCTAGGCCTCCTGCACTCAGCCCTCCTGCACCCAGCCCTCCTGCACCCAGGCCTCCTGCACCTAGGCCTCCTGCACTCAGCCCTCCTGCACCCAGGCCTCCTGCACCCAGGCCTCCTGCACCCAGGCCTCCTGCACCCAGCCCTCCTGCACCCAGGCCTCCTGCACTCAGCCCTCCTGCACCCAGGCCTCCTGCACCCGGGCCTCCTGCACCCAGGCTGCCCGCCACGTGCGCGAGGCAGGGCGGCCAGGCACAGGCCTCCCCAGGCGCGGGCTCCCGCCTCGCTCCGGCGCCAGGACGCCGACACGGCCTGACCACGGGCAGCTCGGCACGCGCGGCGGCCGCCCCCAGTTTACGGACAGTCTCCCGACTTCTCTGTCCGCCCGCCGCGGCGCAGGCGGTCTCGCCCCGTCCAGCTCGGCCAGAGGTGGCTCCGGCCCCGGCCCCGGCCCCGGCCCGGTTCTCCAAGGGCAAAGGGGCAGCGGAGGGAAGGGTCCTCCGGGGAGAGGGGCGGCGGGGCGGGGCGGGCGGGGCGCCCCGGGCGCGGGCGGAGGCGCGGCCATCTTGCGGGCGCACCTCGCAGGTCGGCGGGCGGGCGGGCGGGGCGGTTGGGGGCGCGGCCCCAGGACCCGCCCCTCCAGGGACTCTCGGCGGCGCGGGCGGCGCGCACTCAGCCGACGCACCGACGCGGAGCGCACCGTCCACAGCCCCGGTGAGCCGGCGCAGGGGCGGGCGGGGAGTCGGGGGGTCGCGCCGCGCACTCGGCGGGGGGACAGTGGCCGGGCTCGGCGACCGGGGCGGCGGGCGGAGGGGCGGGCCGCGCTCCAGCCCGGGTCGGGGTCCCCGGGGGGAGCCGGGCTCGGGTCCCGGGGCCCCGGCGTGCGCGGCCGGTCGGGTCCACCCCGCCCCGCAGAGCTCGGCTCTTTTTTGGGCCCAAATACTCGGTAGGTGAAGCCGAACCTGCCGGTGTGGCCGCGCCGGCTGCCCGCGACCCTCCTCCTCCCTCGTCCCCTCGGGGCCCCCGAAGCGCCCGCGGAGCCCGGGCAGGGCCCCCTCGCCGGCCGGCCGGGCGGGACGGGTGTTGGAAAGTGTTGCTCGGAGGCTCGACGGTTGCGGTTTCCCCGCGGGGCCAACGGTTGCTTCACGAAGTGAAACTCGCCGGCTCCTGGCTTCCTGGGAGCGGCGGCCGCTCACCGCCGGCCCCGCCCGCCCGCCCGGCCCCGACCCCCGCCCGGTGCCCACTCGCCCGCCCGGCCCGGCCCCCGCCCGGTCCGCCCGCCCGGCCCGCCGTAGCCGCAGGTTGGGCGGTGACTCACCCCGCGCCGCCCGCCCGCCCGCCCGCCCGGCCGGTTCTCGAGCCGCAGCGCGCGGGGCGGACGCCGAGCGCTAACGCCTGTGTCTCCAGGTCCCGCCGCCGTGTCCGCCGCCGCCGCGCCGCTTCCCGAGGATCGCGGAGACCCCCCCGGAACCGAAAATGCCGAAGCCGGTGAGTAGCCGGCTCCCCGCGGGGCACCGCGCCCGGCACCGGGGCTCCTGGCGGCTCGGGGTCGGCGGGGGGAAGGGAGGCGCGGGGAGCCGCTCCCCGGCCACTGGGTGGTGGTTTTGTAAACTCGGGGGAACCCCGGGGCGCCTTTGCTTTTGCGGCCCCCCCTCCGCCCCCGGGCTGCCGAGGTTTCGGCTTTTAGGTAAACTAGGCTGCCGTCTGTTTAAAACGCGGATTCGAGTGCAACTTGTTTCCTGCAAAGAAAAGTTATCGGAATCGCAGGGAGAGAGAGCCTAGTGGCTTCCGAGGACGCGCACCCACCCCGGTCCCCGCAGGTGTCCGGGCAAATGCACCCCGACCTGGCCCTGGCGCTCCCCGGGGCCCAGCGGAGGAGGCCGCCCCCGTGGAGGGCTGGCCCTGCACCCCCGGTCCCCGGGAATTTGCTGGCGCAGCAGGATTCCTGTCTGGGACTCAGGGCTAGCCCCGGACTGAGCTGCAGAGGAGGGCGGGTGGCCCTGGACTTCGATAAGGGGGCCTCTATCGGGCTCCCTCAGGCCCGGCACCCCTGCCGCACCCAGCAAACGCCAGCTGAAGGCAGCGCTGCTGTGCGCGCACCCCTGTCCCCCGGAGCTGGGGGTGCCGCCATCTCGGGCGGCTGGCTGGCCAGGCCTGGGGCTGCTCCAGCTTTCCTTTAAGTTGTGGGGACGACGCAGGTTCTTTGTGCGGCGCGTTTCTTAGAAAGTTGCATGTATTCCACCTGCTTTTCACACGGTGAACTGGTGAGTCGACGTTGACAGTTTTTTAGTTGACTTTTTAAATCGTGGTGGAGAAAATATCTGGATTCATCAAAAATGGAAAGAAAAGATACCTAGAAAAGTTTTGCAAACAAGTTGTGTGGGCAGTGCTTATGTGCTTTTTCTACTGTTAAACGCTAGATTTTCTAAAAGGAGTTTTTAATGAAGTTATGTTACGGTTAGGTTAAACAAGTTACCTTGTTAATATGCTAATAGATTCAGAAGCCAGTATAGTTTTTGCCTAAGTTACGTCATCAAGATGATTCATTCATGGTGCAGGAAATTCTCTTCCTACACAAAATTCTTCATTTCAAACATGGAAGGGGCACGTGACATCCAGGCTTTTCAGTGCCTGTGACATGAAACTGACCGAAACACAGTCCTTTTTCTGGGAACAGCCCTGAGCCTGAAGGCGACTCGCAGAGCAGTGGGCAGGGCCTTACCGACCTCCCGCAGGTATTTTGCTAAAAGAAAAGATGCGGAGCTCAGCTTGTAAGATATCCCTCAGGAAAAAAGTCAGTAAACCAGTTTCCAGTCACTACTTTTCCTTCTCTTTTCTCATAAGGAATTGTAATTTATGTTTCTGTTTTTATTGTAGTAAAATATACGTATCACCTTCCCCAGCCACTAACTCCCCTTTCCTGGCTAGGGACCTCATAGAATAGAATCACAGTATTTGTCCTCTGGTGTCTGACTCATTTCGCTCAGCACAAAGTCCTGCAGGTCCTCGGTGTTGTAGCATGTGTCAGAATGCCCTTCCTTTGCAAGGTTCTTTCCTATGGCAGGTACATTGTAATTTCATTTTGCTTTCAGTCTTTTATGATGGATCAGAAATTTAGAAAATGTTCTGACAAAGTGAGGATAGTTAAGTTGTTAAGGAATAATAGTAGCCATCACTTGGTGTGTTAGGATCCGGATAACCAGAGTCACGTTTTGAAAGACTTTATTTTACACTAGAGGCCCAGTGCACAACATTCGTGCCCTGGGGGGCGGGGGTCCCTCAGCCCAGCCTGTGCCCTCTCACTGACTGCCGGCTTAGGCCCGCTCCCTAAGCTGACAGTAGGACATCCCCCGAGGGGTCCTTAGTGCTGCTGTGGAGGCAGGAGAGGCTCCCTCCACCGCTGCTGTGCTTGCCAGCCATGAGTCTGGCTTCTGGCTGAGCAGTGCTCCCCCTGTGGGAGCACACGGACCACCAGGGGGCAGCTCCTGTGTTGAGTGTCTGCCCCCTGGTGGTCAGTGCGCGTCATAGCAACTGGTTGTTCTGCTGTTTGGTCAATTTGCATATCAGGGTTTTATTGGATAGGATAGGCTAGGATAGGATAATATGTACAATTGTACTTTCAAAACAGTGTTGGGAGATCTCCTTTAGGTGAGCCACTTGGGAAATTCCTACCTGCGGCCTTTTCTGTGGGCATGGTTTCCTGGAGATTTTAAGTTGATCTTATTATAGAGGGGGAGGGAGGGAAAGAGAAAGAGAAAACATCCATGGGAGAGAGAAACATTTGGTTTGCCTCTCGCACGTGCTCCAACCGGGGGCTGTGCCCAGACCCTGCCACCTCCAACCAGCTGAGCCACACCGGCCCGGGCAGGTGTATTGGATCTTACTGTTCAAGTCCAAGCTAAGAATCTTGCTAGGTGGCTTCGTGTGATTTGAGGTGTGACAGCAGGATCCAGGGGCAAACACCTGTAAAGAGGAACACGTCTGAGTGGCTGGGGTGGGGGCTTCCACCTGACGCCTTGAAGTTTTGATGAAGTATTTTTGATTGCTTTGTCTAAACTGAGTCAGTGGGTGCCTTTATCCATAAAACACTATAAATGAAGTATTTACTTGCTGCTTTCTCTCTTAACACTGCTCTCCAGTCACCACTTGTTAAAAGGACTGAGTGTTCACTCAGTCAGCCAGGCAAGGAGCCTGCACGGGTGGCTGGGGCAGGTCTTGGCCTCCGGGAGCTTGCAGTCTGGGACCTGAGCCTAGACCAGGGGTGGGCAGACTTTTTGACTCGAGGGCCACAATGGGTTCTTAAACTGGACCGGAGGGCCGGAACAAAAGCATGGATGGAGTGTTTGTGTGCACTAATATAAATTCAAAGTAAACATCATTACATAAAAGGGTACGGTCTTTTTTTTTTTTTTTTTAGTTTTATTCATTTCAAACAGGCCGGATCAGGCCTGCGGGCCGTAGTTTGCCCACGGCTGGCCTAGACAGTGCTGCAGCGAGCTCCTAGGGAGGGACTTAGTGAAGGGCCGAGCTCCTAGGGAGGGACTTAGTGAAGGGCCGCTCGGCCCGCCCCTCACCTGGGGAGGCGGGGTGTTCCCAGGTTCCTGGCTCAGGAAGCAGTCTTTGTGCCCATGATTCAGCCAGAGGTGGCCTGTGCTGCTCCTTCCCCCCCAGCCCCCCACTTGCTGTCTTCATTGTGATGGAAAGGAGGCGTGGGCATTAGAAAGGAAAACCTCTGCCCTCCAGCTTGGGAGTGAGGGGGCTTCCAGCTCTTAAAGCTGTTTTCCCAGTTTAGAGTTGAAGTGGCTTCAGTGGGTGCCTGGCCTTTCTCATGCAGAAGTGCCCTTTCCCTTCAGTGTGTTCACATTCTGCCCTGTGCCAAAACGCTAAGGTAATTTCTGAGATTACCTTGGCTCTCTGGGAATACACAGCCTCTGCCACTAAATATTTTAACAGGGTCAGAACTTACTGAATATACTGATACATTTTCCATCCCTCCCACCAATTGAGGAGGATACAGGGGATCTATTTTCTGTTTCCCACCCCCTTTACCCCCCTCAGCATGGGCTGATGGTCAGCTCAGACTTGCCCAGTGGCCGTGAGGAGTGCTGGCCGGGTTAGCCATCTGTCATCACTCCAAGGCCCAGTGAGTCTGTCTGTACTTCCATCCATCAGCTCGGCGTGTTGACTGCATCACTGTGCAGTTGTTGAGGCTCCTGAGATGAGCAGACACGAGGTGAGGTCAGGGTTCCTGATGAAGACCGTGGGCGAGAGGAAAACGGAGGCCAGCTGTGCAGGGCCTTCCTGGTGGCGGAACTCGGTTTAACTCCAGAAGCAGTGGGGGTTTTGACTCTCAGGAGGAGGCCTTCTGTGTGGTCATTGCAGCTGCGTGTGGGAGGCAGGAGGCGGCGGTGGAGAAGGTAGACCATTGGAGGGGCCCCGGTGAGAGTGATGGCAAGGGCCAGGGTGGTGGTGGTGGTGCAGAGGGAGAGTGGGCACAGGTGGGAGGTAAACTCGCTGGACCTGGTGATGGATGGATGTGCAGGGGCCAAGGGCGGTGCCGGCTGACTTGTGGGGTCTGGCTTGCGTAACTGGCTGGCTGGTGGTGCCATTCGGGAGATAAGGAACCTGGAGAAGGACCAGGTGTGGGAGGGGAGGTGGAGGGTTTGGTTTGTACAGGCTGTTAATACACTTGGGACTGTGATTGATGAAAGAGGTCCTTGCCTTCTTTCATAATCATAACCACTACCTCCCAAAAGATGTGCACATACCGACTTCAGCTGCAGTGTGGGTTTAATCCACGTAAGCCAGAAGGACCCAGCAGTATCTTACATGTCTCCACACACGCAGTTAGAAGTTCGGGTGCGAGCTCTTAGACTTCGGTGTGGCTGACCGTGTGGAGGCAGAGCCCCGGCCCGCACAGCGCTGCCGGGGGCCCCTCTCCGCGGCCCCGTAGGGCCCGGCACCTGTGCTTTCCAGAAGCTCCCAGGTGGTTTGATGCCCCCAGAGTTTGGGAACCGCTGATTTCATCAGAAAAGGGCAGCGTTCTGTATCCCTTTCTCTTGGACCCAAACAGGGCAGTGAAGCCCTGAGATGGGTGGTACTGGTGGGTGTGTGGGCAGACCCAGGGGTCCCGGCGCGCAGTGGGAGCAGCGAAGCCCAGCGTGGTGTCTGGTGTCCGGTGTCCGTTCAGGCCGACACTGTCACGGGTGGATGTGGAAGTTTGTTTTACAAACTTCAGTGTAACCTGTGGCTAAGACTTAAGGATTTCCCTTCCCAAGTTGCTATCAATCAGGTAGTTTATCAATAGACCTTCCAAGGAAAACAGCCGTGTGAAATGTTTGGGTTATTTTCTCTAACGCAGCAATTTTCAACCTTTTTCATTTCATGGCACACATAAGCTAATTACTAAAATTCTATGGCATGCTAAAAAATGTATTTTTGGCCAATATGACAAAAAATAGGTATACTGTAGATTTATTCACACCAGGTGGCTATTGTTGTGTTGGCTGTTGCCATTTTTTAATTTGGCAATCTACGAGAAAAGGTCAGTGCCCCTGGTTAGAGTCAGGGGTTGCATGTTTTAAAAAGGCTTGCCGCTCACGAGTAGCTATGGCCCACACCTGTTGAAATCGCTTCTCTTCATCTCTATATCTTCCAGTTGTCAGAATTCCCGTGTGGTTCACATGGATCCTTCCTTGTTCCTGAAGCCCTGTTCTATGTCGTTTGGTGCTAGGTGCTGGGGCTATAAAAATACAGAAGACAGGCTTTGCCTTTAAGGGGTTCTCAGTCTAACAAGGTAGTCAGATAGGTAAACCAAGAATGGCAGGACAGGGTGGCCAGTGTGGAAAAAGGTGAATACCTAAGAAGTTTAAAGTGTGCCCTGGAGAGCCAGGAGGCCTCCCAGCTGGTGAGGTGCTTAGTTGGGTGTTGAGGGATGCCTAGGAGCTCACCAGTGCACAAGGGCAGAAAGGCATTGAGGTAGTAGCAGTGGTCAGTTCTGTTTTTCTTTGATTATGAATCGCATTCCCTTTGTTTTTTAACACCTTAAGGATTAATGGTATTGCTGTTTCAAAGGAAATGAAAACTGCATTAACATAATTATCTTTTTAATCTAATGAGAACCAACTGCCTGTTCGGCTAAGTCAGAAAAAAAGAATGCCTGTCCTGAGAAATGACAGTTTAAACTTTGAAAGCAAAATGAAAATTCTGATCTTGGCCTAACTGTTATTGATAAACTGAGGAACAGATACCACCTGAGGGCAAACTGCAATAGCCAAACATATCAGCTTTTGCTTACCTTTGGTTAAGTTTGAAGTCACTTTCCATATGCTAATTTTCTTTTCTATTTTAAACCGAGAGGTCTTTAAGACTGTCTGTATTTTTAAAAATTGCCATAACAGATATTGTAAATAATTGTTTTTACTCGAGGAGGGGGAAGGCAGAGGCTGAGTCTGACTGTGTGGCCTGGATTTTATGGACTCCCAGAGAGAAATAGTTTTTATGTTTTTAAAAGTTGTTTAAAACAACAAGAACAATAATATGCAACAGATACCAAATATAGCCTGCACAGCCCCAAATATTTATCTGGCCCTTTATAGAAAAAAATTGCCAACTTCTGCTTTAGGACAAAAATAATTATTGTTTAGCATTTCATGTACCTTCTATATGTTTTATGCCTGAGTTAATAATTTTTGGAAGCAGATTCACTTCACTGTTTCTAATTTAAAAAGAAAGAAAGAAAGAAAGAAAGAAAGAAATCACAGGCTCTGAGCCTGGACACACACTGGGCAAGCTCTCGCAGGGCTGGCAGGTGGTGCTGAGGCCGGACGGAAGCAGGTGTTCTGGTGGCCTTGCTTCTGTAGGGGAAGTGACAGCCTCCCGTGCCCTGGCTGACCACTGTACAATGACAGGTGGGCATGTGCTAAAAGAAAGCCGTTTGTGCCTGATATTTGAGTTGGAAGGTGAATGTTACATAAATGAGTGGCCTTTTTATCACTGACAATTTAGAGTGAACTTTGGACCTACCATAGTGTATGAATTTCTGACTAGAGATGGTTTCATATCAATCCCTAATTTAGATCACTCTATCTAAAATAGGGCCCCTCACTGTCCACCCTGTACCCCGCTTTATTTTACTTCATAGAACTTATTTCTACCTGTAACAATGTTAGATACTTGTTTCTTTGCCTCTGTCTTTTCTGACTGCGACAGCGAAAAGTATAGTGCTTTGTGTGTAGCGAGGGGGGAGCGTTATCTGCTCCAGAACAAACTTTAAATTCTTGCCTTTTTGGCAGATGAGTAGAGGGAGGGAGACTGACCAAGTGGGGAGACATGCTGCCTCTTAGGGGTGCCGGTGGGCGAGCGTCTCCGCCTCCCTGGGCCCTGCTTCCTCTTCTGGGATGTCCTCTGAGGTTCTGATGAGACCCACGGGACAGGGACAGGGACGCTCCTGGCCCGTGTCTGGCACTCTCTCCTGTCACCACAGAGGGCAGAGTAAATGCACAGCTCGACCTGTCACCACGACATTCTAATCTGATGGGATAAACCGTCGTTTCTCAGGACAGGCGTTCTTCTTTCTGACCTCGCCTAACAGGCAGTAGTAGGTTTCACCCTTCCCTTTGTCCTTTCGTCGCCCTAGTGGACATCCCACATCCCTGCATGCGCTCATTCGGCAGATAGGGTGCCTCCTGTGCGCCCGTTTGGGGCCTGAGATGCTCAGGCAGCTGAGACAGTGCCCGGAGGGGGAGGGAGGGCCGCTGCTGTCGGCCCCCATCCTGCTGGGCCGCAGGGAGGGGCCTTTGTTCTTCCTCTCACTCCTCGGCGGGTAAAGAGCGAAACCAGTGACTTCCCAGTGGGCAGAGCGTGACGCTTTTGCCTGTTTTTGTTTCTGGCCCGTCCCTCTCACATCGGACAGGGAGCCCAGGGGATCTTTCTCCCAGGACGTGCTTCCATGGGTTTGTGGGGAGCACGTCGTCTCTGCTGGGTCCCGTGGGCTCCGTCACTGCTCAGGCATCGGTTCAGGGCCCTTGTTCCTTTTGGGAGAGTATTTGCCATGGCTGCGTCTGCAGATTTCTGTAGAGTCGTCTTAGCAGGATGGCCAGCCTGTTCCTTATGCTTTTTGAGAGCAAACTGATAAAAGCTTAGGATATAAATATTAGCTGAGAACCGCCTCGATGAAAATGTTGTGTGTGTCAGTACAGTATTGTTACTCGATGTTTCATGGCCTTGGTTAAATAATTACGGATGTTGCTTGTGGTTGAAGTATCTGCTTGCATAACACATTGCTATTTGGGTGAGACTCTAAGTGGGACTTAGGTGGGGAGACGGACAGGGTGGGGAACATCTGATGTTTATTATTAAGAAACTGGCCAAACAGGGCAGTTTGGAAATGCAGGTGATGGCACGGCTGCGCAGTGCATTCCGTGACCTGAACGAGTCCACTGAGAAAGGTATTTTGGAGGCAGTGGGGGACATTGAATACGGACTAAATTTAAATGTTAAGGACAGTTTTGAATTAGGTTGGAAATAGTGGAGGTGTGTGTCCGTTCGGGCCGCATGCTGGTGTTTCACAAGTGAAGTCTGTGTGACGGCCTTAGAATACGCCAGTGACGTTGCTTTAAGGTGATAGAAAGTAGGTGAGTAAGGATGCCGGAAGTCAGTGGCGTCAGGCTGCGTGGAGAACACATGGGGCTCCTTAAACTGTTTCCAAATTTCCAAAATGAAGTTTGTTCCCTAAAAGCACATAAGGGTGGAAGGGAAAGATGCTGTCCCGTTTCCAAGTGGCCAAATGCTGAAGTCTGGGAGGGCAGGCACGGCTCCTTCCCCTGGGGCTGGCCCGCCCCGCCCCCCGCACTCCCGCCCGACTGTGTCCGGGGTCCCTGGAGTGGAGCCAGGCTTTCTGGGGAGACCTTTTGTGTCCTGGTCAGTGAGGGGCTGCTTTCATTCCACCTGGGCCACCACCCCCCCGCCCCCCCCCACACACCTTTTACTAAAGGAGATCTGGTCGGACTGTGACAAAGTATAAGTTAAACGGGGCTGTGTGTGTTTTAACAGCATAAGTCAGATGTGCAAGGTGGCTTAGAAGCTTGTGTTTGACGAAGTCTGCTTGTTCGAGCAGGTTTGTGAGCTGGCTGAGCGGGCCTTCTCCCCACCGCAGGCGCGCAGCACACAGAGTTCTTGTTGCAGGCCAGTCCCTCACTCGTGTTCCCACGATCTCGGGGTGGGGGAGGGGGAGTGCTGTGACCCAGCTGGAAATAGGTCATTATCTCAATAGCCGCCTTCTCAGAGCTGAGATTCTGCGGTGGCAGGCTAGACGATCCGTGTGCAGCCTGCGGGTGGCTGGGCCGTCACAGGACCAGAGCTGCGGGGCGGGCGGGGATGGCCGTACCCGCACACGAGGTCTTGGTGCCATCAAGAAGTACATACACAGTTTTAATCCCATCCGCATGTAGCAGACTTGACTGTGACAAAGTATAAATTAAACAGGGGTGTGTGTGTCTTAACTATCAATTCAGATATACAGGTGGTTAAAAGCGTGTTTTACTGAAGTCTGCTTATTCCAGCAGGTTTTGTAAGCTTGCTGATTTAGTGTGGGTCTCACTCCCCATTTTTGATAGATGGGGAGTAAAGTAAAGCAAAAGTAAAGACTTCTCGCTCAAGTTCAGATACATCTAGTCTAAGCTTCTTACAGGAGAAATGTTCTTTCACTGCAGACTATTTCTGCACATGTGATCTTAACGAGGGGCAAAGATTTATATCAGAAATGGCACGAGAGTTAAGCATGGTTTATTTTATAAATCCTTTCCTAAAACAACAGGTTAGCAGAGCAGTTACCTTGTTTTGGCCTCCCTCCCTCCACCCACACACACTCACACTCGTTAGAAAGGAAGGACTCTTGACAGACTTCTAAATTTACAAAGAAAACAGTCCATTCCAGGTGGGGAGTGAAGTGTAGTCTGTCTTTAATTTCCTGTTTTATTAGCCTAGAATGAAAAACCATTGTAGCATGAGGTCGTCATGCCGGCCCTGTCCGGTACTTGGTCTTTTCTGGGATCCTAAGCTTGTGGATAGAATTACCCTCACTTTTCAGTGAACTAAATTGGGGCTGAAGTATGTATGACCCAGCTAGTAAACCTGAAATCAGTGTTACAGAATCGAGACTTGAAGCTTATTAGATAAAGTGACCTTGAAGCAGATTATCTGTGTTTCTGAAAGGGAATAGTTTTGCAGAACATAACGTTCTTTGATGATTCCTTTTCCCTTTCCTCTGTGAAGTGGTGTCTGAGGTTCTAGTTTAGCCTGTGTGGCTCACTGGTTGGAGCGCCATCCCATGCACTGTAGGGTCGCAGGCTCCATTTCTGGTCAGGCCACTTACACCAGTTCGATCCCCTGTGGGATCCCCTACGGGAAGCAACGTCCTCACATCGATATTTTTCTCTCCCTCTCCCTTCCTCTCTTAAAAAAATCAGTAAAATTACACAGTGTGGCCATTCCCAGTGTAGAAGTCCGTTTCCTCCCCGCACAGCAGCCCCTGAGCCCGAGCAGCACACGCTGCTCCCGCACGGCTCCTGGGGAGGGAGCTGAGAACGCGCCTCCGGCTCTAAGGCCGAGATTTCCCTGTTACCATGAGTGCAGAGGGACTGGTTTGTCCGCCCTGGGCATTGCTGCAAGCCTGGGCTGACAGGAAGTGGGGCCGGGGGCAGGAAGTGGCTGACATTCAGAGGCAGAAAGAGCTGTTGAGAAAGATTGGGGATTTCATTACAAGTTCTTGACATTTGTGGGCTGAATGTTGGTAGATGTGGGCACTTCCCTCTTATGCATAATTTTACCTAAGTTTTCACCCTGGAATTTGGAAATACAGACATTTCAAAAGTGTAAAACCATTGACTATTGAGAGATACAACCTTAGGAATAATGTTTCAGAGCTATACGAATATAAATTTTTTAGAAGCTGTTTAGAAGATTACCAGAAGTTGAGGAAGTTGTGTAAGCCTTTCTGGGCCTCAGTTTCCCCCGTGTTTAAAAGAAGGGGTTCAGGCCAGGGTAGCTTGACGCCTCTCACCCAGCAATCCCATTTAGCCACCCTAGCACCTTGTCACTGTTTCCTTGCTCCACTTGGAACACATTATTAACCATAAAAGCGAGGGTGTAATGGGTGTAACGATGTTGGTTACATTTTTATTGGCCTCTCTGTTCTTACAATGTTAAAGAACCATCTGAAACAAGTGGTTTGGAAATTCCAAGGCCCGGCTTTCATGTTGACACTCTGTCCTGTTATCGGCTGCATATTAAGAATTGAGCTTTTAAGTTGTAAGCTTAGCTCAGAAAGGAGGTAAGGGTGCGTAGAGTTAATTTTCATGATTAAGTTACCCTCAGAATTCCTTAAAGTGCTATGGAATTCTCTGCGAAATGAGGCCAGTGCTCTCCGGATAAGAGGCGCACCCACCCCGTTCCCCCGAGTTAAAGTTTACACTCACACTTCCTAAAACTAAATAAATAAGGGCTGTGCTTAAACTGAACCCAGAAACCCGACTAGACAACCACCTGGTTCGAGCCCAGTGGCTCATGTGAACCTGAACTCGATTTTCGTGAGTATTGGCACCTTCACAAACCCTGCCCAGTAACTACCTTTCTGCACCTCCCGCAGGAAGGAAGGGGAGGGAGGCCTGGACCGCTCTGCTCCGGAAGGAGGATGACTTAGCTGGAGGCACTGGGTGGTAGGTAGATTCAGTTTCTTGATAGATACTCCCTGCAGGGAAAGGCATTCCCGGAACTGTCAGCACCCGTCCACTCGCGCCCTAGCTTGGCTTTTCCTGGTGGGGAGACACAGCTGTCACGAGGCGCGGGGTTACCTGGAGCTCGGTGATGGGCACCAAGAGACCTGAGAGCAGCTAACCCACGTCTCAAAGTCCTGCTCAGCAACTTTCAGCACCTCGTGTTCCCAGAAGTAGCGTGACTGCCCATCCGTGACCCCTCGGCGAGCTCTAGGAATGGCCGAGACGGGGGCCAGCACTTGGACCTTACTCACAGGAGTCGTCACAAGTGGACTCTTGTCAGCTCTGACATTTGATGGCTCTATTATTCCCATCACAGGCCATAAAAAACTAGAATATTACCCTGATATTACATAAGTATATGAAAACGGTATCAGAATACGAGTTCTGGACCTGCCCTACCGTCTGTCATTGTTGGGTTGTTGCGCTTCAGACAATGATGCCGGGGGCTTTTCCCGAATCACCTGACAATGTTTGTTATTTTTAATCACACAATCTTTTTATAAGATGTGTGGAGCCAGGTGACCAGTTTTCCTAAGCCCGACCAGCCAGTCGCTTCACCTTCACTCAAGTTCTTTTGAACCTGGAAAGAGAAAAGATCAAGTGATGTGATTGGGTATAATTTAAACTTAAGATTCAGAGGAGCTGGAGAGACAGGAAGAGCATTTGTTTACAGACCTGCCAGAGGGCTAACTTGTCAGTGAGACATATTTATACTGTTTTTCCACCCTCTCTAAAGGTCGAGAAACCGCAGGAAGTCTGGTGTTAAGAGCTAGAGCTTAGACATGTATCTCTGGAATTTCTAACTCTGAGGCCAACCTGCTGTGGGCACATGGTGACGTGTGGCTGCTGCTGGTGGCGGGAGCGGTTGCCGGACGAGCCGTGCTGGTGTCTTGGCCGGTGCAAGATCGTGTTAGTGTGGACTTCACTGCATTTAATGAAAAATTGTGTGTTAGAACCACATTCCCATTTTACTTGTCTTCTCTGTACAATAGTTTGGGTATTTTGATAAATACCTTCCATTAGCAACATACTGGTTTTATTTTGGCCTCTCTGTCCTTAAAAGAATTGTGTCCTACAGGGTGGTTTGTGGTCGGCCTTTCTTGAGTAGAAGATGGATGCTTCTAACTGTTTGCTAGTAACTATAACAATGTAAAAAATGGCCACTGGGTTTTCAGTGTTCACTACTTTCCTATCACCTGTTTGTGTAAACAGTGCTGCTGGGGGCAGCATTGCACACTTAACGAGAGTCTCATTCTGTAAAATAGATAGAAACGAAGCTATCCCTTAAATAGCAGCTATGACTGTGACACCCGAGAAAGGGTGGGTGATACGGAAAAGAGCTGAAAAGCAGACCTTGGCTTTGGGGCTTCTGGCCTCGACTTTGCCTTCGGGGGCTGGAGCTGCGGGGCCCCTTCCGCAGGGCGGTGGGCTTTCCAGTCGGGGTCGTTCACAGGTCGGTGCTTGTGGGCCAGCATTTGTGAAGTGACCACTGTGTGACTTAGTGAGAGTGTTGTTCGTAGAGGCTGGTTCTTATCTTTCTCAAAAGTGAGGCGCTTAGGATCCAGAGAGAGCGCTGATAGGGACCCATCCGTTGGATACAGATTTCATTAAGGAGCTCAGGTCTGCACGCCATCCCTGTGTGGGACACCTGAGTGCGATGCCTTCTCCGATGCTGCCTTGTCCCAGGGCAGTGCTGTCCGGGTGTGGTCTCACTGTGACCTGGGAGAGCGGTAGATTCCTGGGCCGCATTCCAACCCCCTGAGTCAGGATCTCGGCCTGGGGCCCGGGAGCTGTTTGAGCCGGCTCTGCGGGTGACTCTGCACGTTCCCGTCGGGCAGCATGGGCGGCGCTGCCATCTTCCGAGGCCTTTCCCCAGGGACCGTCTGAGACAGGTGAACGGCTGACGTGTGCAGGTGATCAGGGAGAGATTTGGGGGTTTTGCTACTCGGACTGAGCACCGTGCTTGGCACCACAAAATGTAAAGCGGAAGACTCCGTCAGCCCCCTTAGAACGTGCGGAGAGAACCCGACCCAGGCCTGCTTCTCCCCTCTGCTCCCGGGCCGTGCCCTCGCCCTCGTGTGAGGAGGGAAGTCGCTAGAATCCGGGACGACTAACATTGCTTCTGGCGGCAGGAGAGCAGGCTGGGCGGTGGTGTGTTCACATGAGTTTGGCAGCTGGGGCCTCTTCCTGAGAACACAGACTATTTTCATTTACAACTTAAACACAGTGAACTTACATTGCATTTTAGTTTTTACAAATTTACTTTCTTTCATCATTGTTTCCCCCCTAATTTTTTCCTTACCAATGTGACCATAGGTAGTCCAGTTCAACGTAGATAGACACACGTGACCTACCCAGACAGTGGAATATTAGTTGGCAGAAAAAAGGACTGGAGCCCTGACATGCTAGGGCACGGATGAGTCGGGAAGACATGCTCAGTGACAGAAGCACGTCACCAAGACCCCATTCTATTCATAGAAACTGTCCAGAGTAGGGAGTCTGTGGAGACGGAAGTGGACTGTGGGTGCCAGGTAGGCGGGGGGAGGAGCAGGAGGGACTGCTGAGGGCCACGGGTTTCTCCCGGGTGACGGAATGTTCTAAAATTAGGTCGTGGTGTGGTTGTGTAACTCGGCGAATATGCTAAAAAGCCACTGAATTGCTTACTTTAAACGGGCAAATATTATGGTTGTAAGTTATACTTCAAGAAGGCTGTAATTTTAAAAGTACTCAACATGAAGATGAAAATACAATATTGCCCGTGTAATTTTTCAATTAAGTGACCCAAACAGGCATCCGCGATGCTCTCTCACTCGGTGGCTGTCCGCGGGGAGAGCGGCTCCTTGCTGGGCTCCCTGCTCCTTCCCCAGCTGGGGAGCGGGCGGCCGGACCTGCTTCCTATCAGCCTTTCTACGTATCTGAAAGGCCTTCGCCAAATATTTGAAAGCTGTTCGAAGTTGCTGAGGTGGCGCCTTCGGAAGAGGCTGGAATGTGGGGAAACAGCGCTGACATTTTAAGTGATTGTGAAGGTCAGGCTCCCAGTGCAATCGCCCTGGTGCTGGGCAGCTCCACTCCTCACTTTTGAGCAAATGCAGGTGTGATAGTACAGGGATTAACCTTATCACTCAGGCCACGGCCTGAAAGCCAAACATTCAGAGGGGACCACGTGCATTTCCCTCATTTTCATGGTCCTGGTTTTGAATGAGCGCACAGAGCAACCCCGCGGCTGGCACGCCGCCGGCGCCGTAAGGAGACGGGAGCGGCCGCTTGTCTGGGAGGTTTGGGGCAGAACTCGCCGGAGCCTTCCCCGCCTGTCTTGGTCTTTAGTTCTGTGAAAGGTCTGCCAGGAGAGGTCATCTCAACCCAAGAGAAAGCATGTCAGGAGGAAGTGGGCACTTCCCAAAGGCAATATTGCCAAATATTTATCTACCAAAATGAGAATGATAAAGGGCGATCATTTGACAACCAACAGTTCAGCCTCTGCCTGGGTTAGAAGTAAAAGGTACTTCCAGGTCCCTCCGTGTGTTCTCCTACAGGCTCCGGGGAGGTTTTAACAAGTGAACCTGGGAGACTCATGTTTTTCAGAGAGTGCTCGGGAAGGACTGGTGCTTGGGCATTGTCCACGGAAAAGAAACCTGGGAAGCAGACTGGGGCCCGCCCTGGGATTTCACAATTTGCATTAACAGCAAAGACACTCAAAAGCCTTTCAGTTAAAGAAAGAAAAAAGAAGCGCAGCCTTAACTTCTGTGACCTCGAAATGCCGCTGCGTCCCCTCCCCCGAGCATCACCGCTCTGGCCCCCCCTTTACCGTCAGAGATTTTGCAGAGAACTCAGCTGCTGACTTGGCTCAGAAGGCACTCAGATACTGTTTGACTTACAGGATGTTAAAGGGGAAGATCCCTGACAGATACTCTTGGTTCTACACTGCGGCCTGCCCGGCAGGGGTTGGCTGGGAGGCCCAGGTCTGTCTGTCTCATGAGTGCTCAGTTAGAGGGAGTGAGCAGAGAGGACAGTGGGTTTATTTTGTTTAGTGGGGTGAATTGTTACCGGGCGTTTAAAAGAAGAAGATTGGCGCTTAAATACTTTCCATTCTCCTTTTTGTAATGGAGACATGGCTGACATGGCAGCAATGAAGCCTGTAGCCCCTTTCTCCTGCCAGGAGGGTTACAGCCCCTGCAGGAGGTGTGAGCACCGGCTGAGCCTTTCTTTTGTCCCTGAAGCTATCTCCTGGCCACCTGCTGATAGCGTTCCCTCTGAGTTATTTCTCAGGGATCCTCCCCCGCATCCCCTGCCTCCCGCTAGGAGTGGGCCCAGGACTCTCAGTTCTTGCTCTAACCCTAACCCTGCCCCTCGGGACTCCAGACCTCACATTTCCGAGCTGGAAAGGACCTCAGGACACGTAGTCCAGACCTTTTGCACATAAGGGGCTGAGTCCTCAGTGGGTTACAGCGCCAGGTCTCGAACCCAGGCCTCCCAGCTGCTCTGCTCCTGCCTGCTGATCAGTGACTTGGGTAGTCCTCAGGCCACTTGAGTGGCTTTAAAAACTATACAGGTTCTTGGGCTGAGGCCCAGAAACTCAGGTGTTTGTAAAGCTGCTCTGGGGAGTCTAACGGCCAGTCCCATGCGGTGTACGACAGCCACTTGAGGCCATCTCTGTGGGTTAAGTCAAGTGGCTCCAGGGCAAGGGAGGTCTCACTCCTCTGTCCCCAGTGGCCCCCATGGTGCCAGCATCCCCGGCAGGCGTTTGGTTGGGGTTTATAGAGCACATGAGCCTCACAGGGTGCAAGGTGTCCTGGCTGGGGTGGGCTGGGAGCAGCAGAACGATGCTGTCATGGTTCATAGGTGTGTAGTGTAGTAGCTGAGCTGACCCCTAATAACAGCAAGTATAACTTTTTAAAGAGTAGATTATTAAGCAGAGGGAGGATAGAGAGTCTGACAGTGAAGTTTTCATTATCTTCATTAACTAAGGCAAAGAAATTTTATGTGTTGAATCCTGATATTCAGTGATATGCATTATATAGTCAAGTAACCTGGAGCAAAATACCTGTGAAATTCTAGTCATTATTCATGAAACACACACACACAACAAGAACAACAAAACATGCATTGCATTTTGCTTAAATTTAAGAAGTCTTATTGGCCAGTTTTGTTGATTTGGTCTGTTTTTAGGCATTTGTCTCTTGCAAATACTGATATTCTAGTAAGAGCTCAGAAACTTAACTCTCCTACTGAAGTAAAAATAAAAAATACAGCTCACCCATTAAGCTAGCTACTGTGTGGGGCAAAAAGAGTTTTCTGCTGAATGTGGTCAGTGTGAAAAATAGATCCATTGGAACCTCATTTTCCTTGAGGGGTTCGGGCATGTGCAGCACCAGCTTTTCCTGACTTGTGTCTAAGATAAGTCATTTTGTTAGAAAATTCTGACATAGTACATGGTTGTAGAAAGACCTAATTTTTTTAAATCAATTGAGGGCTAAATTAACTCCCTAACTTAACTCCCTAACGTTATCTAACGTTATTTATCAATTCCCATTATGAATAGCAGAGTAGGATGAGGTCTGGTTCCTTACGTGTTCTGTCTGACACTTTAGACCTCACAGTATGACTCTGTGTCGGAGTGTCAATGGAGGAGCATTTGGAAGGAGACATGAATTATTAAATTATCTACACCATCAGCCACATGGCTCTGCATGTGTATATGGGCCCGGGGTACATGAGCAAAATTAAACTTTAATTGTCACCACCCTCTCCGAACAAAACTGAATGTCGAGAGGTGTTTAGTATGTTGGCCAGCCTTCTCGGGTAGCTTTTCAGTGACGGCTGCTCCTGCACACGCCTGCACCCGCACCACGCCTGCTGGCGGCGCCTCCTGCAGCGAGCGTGGCCTCTGGGGAAAGTGTGATCTAGGAGACACACCAGGACGATACAAATTGCAAAGCATGTGCTCTTGTCCCGTCTTTGCACGAGGTTTGGGTGTTTGGACTTCAAGTTCCTGCACCTCTGACCTGTCGTGGGCCACCTCCCGTTGATGCGTAACCGCACGATCCCACCTGATGGCTGGGGCGGCGCTGCTGATGTGAGCGCCAGCTTTCACCACGTGTCGAGTTCACCGAAACCAGTTGCTGGGCATGGAAACCTCTCACAGACTCTGGAAAGGAGCTGGGCTTTAGAAGTTTCCTTCATTTCCAAAGCCTAATTTCTTTCAAAGCCCCTGGATAATTGGGCCAAAATATGTACAGAAATGGTCCTGTTTTCTGAGTAAATGTTTTATTTTAAATTTCGGTAGAAGTTTATGCTGCTTTCAGCACGTCGTTAAGGATCTGTAAACTGGGAAGTAATTTCCATAGTCTTTATAAACATGGACTGTTGAACATGCCCCTGACTAAGGCAGTACCTCTGTGGTCCTTTGTCCCCGAGAGCACGTGGAGGTGTGTGTGGGGTCCTGGTGGGTGTCCCGCTGACTGGACATTGTGCGTGGTTAGGCGCTGGCCATTCTGCAGGACTGGAGGTCGTCTTGCAAACCCATGCTGTGCTGCCCGAAGGATCACCTTGTGGGAAACACCGCAGGGTAACGACTAGTCAGGTGACACACACACCCTTGAGGTCAAGCGGCCTGGCCACTGGTCACTTACAGCTTATTCTTGTATTATTACTTGTTAATTACGGGCAGTCCCCAGGGACTCGACGTATGTTGTTTCATGGTTACGTTGCCATCTCCCATATGTTTATTAAAAAAAAGTTCTGTCATTTCAACGTATGTACATATGTGCTTTATGTTTATTATTTATTTACCACAAGTAGAGGTCAGGAATTGTTATCTTTCTTTGACATTTTTTTTACTGTTTCACTTCATTACTGCTGTGTGTGTGCTCCATATGAGTGACGCAGGTGCTTATGTAGGTGGGTTCCGACTTACGGCGAAAATCGAGTTACGTCGCTGTAGGAACGGATCTCCCACGTCATCCGAGGACCTGCTGAATTTTCCATATAAACAGCAGTAAACCTACTTTTGCCCACCCAGTGGATCCTCTCCCTTCCTGCCCTGGTCTGAATTCTCGGAGCCTCACTCGGCTGTGGTGGGGTCAGAAGGAGGTGGTGCGTGGGAAATCCACTAACCGTAGTCAGAGGACTTTCGTAGAAAAAGGGCACAGACCTGAGTGTGAATGTGCGGTGCTGAAGAAGGCAGGCCTGCATTCGGGTCCGGACTGTGCACGCGCCGAGACTCATCTGCCGGGGAGTGTGTGCGTGTGTGCACGCGTGTGTGCTGACAAGACTGATAATGGCTGTTGGAGAGGAACAGCCTGCGTGTGACTGGAAGGCTCAGGAGAGGATCAAGAGAAAAGAACGCTGTTGTCGCTGGGTTGGCTCAGTGGATAGAGCATCCGCCTGTGGACTGAAAGGGTCCCGCGTTTGATTCCGGTCAAGGTTACCTGCCTGGGTTGCCAGCTTGATCCCCTGTAAGGGTTGTGCCAGAGGCAGCCAATCAATGATTCTCTTTCTTCATTGATGTTTCTCTCTCTCTCTCCCTCTCCCTTCCTTTCTGGAATCAATGAAGATAAATTTTTTAAAAGAGAGAAAAGAATGCTCGCTAAGTGTGATTTGTGCCTGTGTTTTCTAGATCAATGTCCGAGTCACCACCATGGACGCGGAGCTGGAGTTCGCCATCCAGCCGAACACCACAGGAAAGCAGCTTTTTGACCAGGTTGGTCTCTGTGAACTTGAGAGAGAATTCCCATTTAGAAAAGAAACTTTTGCAACATCTGAATCATTTTGTTTGCGAAGCATATTCCTTGGGGTGCTGCCTGCTTCTCTCTGTAGAGCAGCCCATTTCCCCTCCCGCGGGGCTCACACTGAGAACTCTGTGGGGGTGGCCCCGCTCACAGCTCCGAGGGGCGCTTTCGGGGACATCGAAGGCTTCCTCGGCAGCCCCAGGGTGCCAGGCCTGCCGGTGCTTCCACTCGCCCGGCTCTGCCGCACCCACAGCTCTGGCAGCCCTCTGCCCCCGGCTCTCGTGGTCACCTGGCTGCTGCTGGGCATCAGTGTGGGGCTGGGTGCAGTGGAGATCAGACACCGCCCACGGGCCCGAGAGGGGCCAGGCAGGCCACGGTTCCAGGGTGACCCTCCCCGGCTCCTTCGGACTGAGCTCGCTCAGACGCTCATCTGAGCTGGGCCCCACGGAGCCCGTCTCGTTCCCTCTCGCAGCCTGAAGGTGAAAGTGGGGTTTTAACGGGAGCACCGAGCCCCCTGCGGTAGCTCTTCCCGGGACAGTTCTCAGCGAGCAAGGTCTTCTTTCTGGGCTGAGTGAGTGCTCCAGGGCCGAGGTCCAGTGGGCAACAGGACGGGGTGTATGCAGGCCCTGGAGCTGTGCTCGCCTTTCTGAGGCCCCAGTGGGAGGAAAGCGATGTTCCCATCAACACTAACCCGGGAAGTGGAGTGGGTGCTGATGGGGAGACCTGGGGGGTAAGATTTTAGCAAATCTAGAATCTGCAGTGACTCCCCGCTGCTGGGTGGGACGTCCTCTCATCGCCCATTCCCTGCGCTGGGCCCCCTCTCCCCCCCACCCCTGCAGCAGCCCCAGGGGTTCAGGGTGACAGTCCTGCCAGTGCCTGCAGGGGTGAGGGGACACCTCAGCTCTCCGGGTGCTGCCTCGCCCAGCAAGGATCCAGACATTTACTGCTCTGGGTGGGGCTGGACTTGGTTCAGATTCTAAAGGTTTCACCTGAAAGGTAATCTTGAGGCCGTTCCATGGAGCCAGCTGAGCTCCAGGGGGTGCAGGCGGGGGTGGGGGGGTGGGGGGGGGCCCGGGGGGGGGGCCCAGGTGCTGTGTTAGCTGTGCCTGCAGCCACCGTGTCCCTCAGTCACAGACAGTCCTTGTCTTCAATGAGTGCCAGGCCGGCCTCAAGCAATTTATTTTAAAGCAGAGCTGGGAGGCTCTATGTTAGGAAAGCGGACGAGGTGGTGAGTTAGACTGACCCCTCCTCTCTACCCCGGGAAGTCTCTGCAGTAACTGGGCTGTGACTAGGTCCTAGTCCAGGGCTCTGGTTGG